AGCATTACATGTAACATCAAATTAAATGCCCTACGGGCTTACATCTTTCCAAGCCAACACTTGGACACAAAAGTATGAGTTCTAACTCAAATACAAGGAGATTAAAGGACGACAACAACCAATATATACTGACAGGATCCACGGAACCTAAGTCCGGATACAATAATCTAAAGGAAAAAGACCGGGGTCGCTATATTGTTGCTCTCAGTTATTTGAATCCAGAGTCTCATGTTTTGCTATCAGAGTTGAATCAACGAATGGCTCCTCAATTTGAAAAGCTTAACAAAGCTTTGATTTAATTAGTAAGTCATTAAGCAGATCAGAATGTGCATTACTGTTGTTTAAATCTACAGGTGGATTGTGTAAGAACCCATGTTCCCTCACACTTTGTGTTGACCTGTGTTGCATCCCCTTATGAAGTTGCTTAAGTAAACTTTTTGATTTTTGATTTTTTATAAATAATTTATCTTGCTGGAGAATAGCCTAGCTGAAATCTTCATGATGAGATTCTCCCTTATGAACGGCATAATGAATTGGGTGAGTCAACCTTTTGGTTAAATGATCGGTTGTCTATGTTTACCTGCTTGTGTATACATATGGTGGAATCATATGAATATGCATGTGATTATATTCATATGATTATGTGTATTAACTGTCTATTTATTTGCTTCTTATTGGAGTGCAGGTTCCTGACTCAAACACCATAATGGATACATTTTAGTTTTACCCTGTAAAATACAATAATTTGCTACCATTCTATCCCTATGAATGAGTGTTCTTATTTCTGCTATTGCATGATTGTTTTTAATTTTGGCCTTGATGGCCACCTCCTGGTAGTCATGGCTCTGTACATCTTTCTTGGAAGCATTTATTAATTATAGGAAGGAATGTTTGAATATTTTGTGACTGTTCATTAGTCTCAATTTTTGTTGTAACAGGTGGATCAGTATAGCATGGTAAGCTTCGTGTCTCTGGACTTGAGGAAAGAGAGCAGGTACACTGTATGTGTGTGTGTGGGGAAGGGGCGGTGGGGGTATTACACGAACCAGTCTGTACATCCAGTTGTGCATGGATGTGCTAAGAAGCACAGAAACTTTTAAGGTGTGTTTGTGTCAGACACAGACACTTCCCCACACATCGTATACATGGCCAAATGTGTTTTGTTATTTTCTAGAGACAGACATGCTTCGGACACTTGGAGACACACGTGTTCATTGTTTAGACATTTATGAACTCTTTAGACACACTTGAAGGCCTTCTAGGTTCTTTGTATGAGTTGCAATAGATTTTTCTAGCTAAGTGAGATTTGAATTTTAAAGACTTTGCCAAGGGTGCACCCACCCGAGTAACAATAGATGAATGCAATACATCTGTTGGTTTCCTGCGTGCTTGTGTCATTTGACTAACGATAGTCTTTTCTCTTCTTTTCCATTGACAGTATACAATACGTCTTATCACAAATTGACAACTGCATTCAGTATGGAGAAGATGCAGATGTGAAGGTTAAGGATTTTGATCCGGAGGATGATGATTAGGGGGGCTTTGTATCATTTGGCTGGCTTTCTTGTAGTTGCAGTTCTGATTAAGACATGAGGTGCGAAACATGTGTGAGATCTTCTAGCTGAATGGTTTGGACCTGATGTGAACTATTTGTGTAGTCTCAAATATTTACTGGGTTGCTTGTTTGTGATTACTAATCGTTGGACTTTTGCCTAAAAACACATTTACATTACCAATGCCTAGTGATAGGTATAGGTTTAGGCATTATGAGGTATCAATTTCAGCGTATCAGTTTCAGCTCATAGCTTTTATTGTTCACAGTAGTAGGTGGTTAAGAAAACCTTTTGTGGATTCAAAATGGCTTCAACTTGCTCGAAAACTACATGTTTTATGTGTGGTTACAGACCTAGGGGATTAGTCCGGAGGAAACTCCCTTGTGTGGGGAGAAAAAATGGTTCCACACCTTAAAAAACCATATTTTCAGATTTTGGCTTATGGGATTCAGTTTTGCCTAAATTTCGACCCAACATGAATGTTAATTGGTTAGATCACCCGTCGCAGCCATGGCACTGAATGCAACAGCAAAAGTTCAGACAACCCTAACATAGTTAGAATGGAAATGTTGATTTTTTTTTTGGTAATGAAACATGGTTGCGGCACGAGGGTTAAGTTACTTGTATTTTGTTTGTTTATTTATTTTTCACTAGAATTTCTTGAGAATTGAAGACTAGTCCTTTTTTATGAAGCTCCCTAGATGGCACATGCAAGGTTACTTAATTATGTTGAATGTTTCATAATAATATCTTCGTAGCATGAGTATTTTTGTTTCTCGAAATGACTTATTTTCGTATTGTAGGTGTGGGATCTTGTTACTGGAAGACTTTTACAAACTCGAGCTTTTCCACTACCAATTACTGCAATAGTTGTTGATCCAACAGAGATGAAGTTGTTTTCTGATGGTATAGATTACTAGTGGATATTTCTTTTTTGTATACGGAGGACATCATTTTTGTATGATTATCTTTTTGTATGGAATTATTATTTTGGGTTGGATTATATTTGGTTTGTATAGAATTTGATGTTATAAGACCAAATTTTTGGATGGTTGAAAGTGAAATAGAAATAGACATATATATTGTTTTGTTTATATACAGGGTGCAGGTTGCACGAAATAAATACAGATTGTGCAGAAATTAATAATAATAAATAAAAAAAATAACACTAAATAAAGTTTTTGGTGACTAAATATTTAATAGCCAAAAAAACAAAATAAAACTTGTTAGCTACTAAGGTGCCGTTTGCCACCACCGTCTTCCGCCGCCACTTACCACCACTTGTCATTTCTCACTCTTTTTTATATTTTAAATTTTTTAAAAACATTTTGTCAATTACCAAACGCGTTTGTAGTTTATGTTTTTCAAAAAATAAACAAAAAATAAACAAAAACCAGTTTATAAAATTTTTATAAATATAAACTGAAAACGTAAACGTTACCAAACACACCCTAAAAAATTTGGTAGCCAAAAACAAACCAAAGATTTTTTGGTAACTAAAAATTTAGTAGTAAAAAATATATGAGACTTTAGGCGACTAAATAGTTTAGTAGCTAAAAAAAAAATATGAAAATTAATTTTTTTTGGTAACTAAATATTTAGTAGCTAATAATAAATTATACTTTGGGCGACTAAAAGTTTTAGTCGCTGAAAATGAAATTTAATTTTATTTGAAAACTTTTGGCGACTAAATATTTAGTCGCCAATTTAGGACTTTTGGTTACTAAAAAATATTTAGTCGCCAATACCTCGTACTTTTCCCTACTAAAATATTAGTAGCCATTTATAGGACTTTTGGCGACTAAATTTTTTTTAGTCGCCAAAACCTTCCCCGACCGTTTTCCCACAACAAATCTAGCTACCAAAACATTAGAGTCAGGAAAAGGCTTCAGCAACTAAAAACCTTACTTTAGCGACTAAAACTTTAGTCGCTAAAAGTGCATTTTCTTGTAGTGGAAACAAATTAGAGACAAGTGACCAAATAACATCTCTCCAAGGAAGAGATGTTGGACCGATGTTAGCGAAACAGCGAAAACCGAGCTTGATGCGAGGATTCAGCTCGGCCTGAAGCAAGAAGAGTTCGTAATGGTGAATCCGAACAATAAGACTAAGTTAGGGAACTATATTGGTTATCACCAGATTCAGGATGGACAGTGAGTTTTCTTTTGTCAAACGGCAATTATTGCCAAATCCGCGGGGCCTTAACCGCTACAATATGTGGGTGACTCCATATAACAAGTCTGAAAAATAGGTTGGAGGGCTATGTATTGATAAGAACCGGGGAGACGATACCTTAACTATATGGACCCTCAATTACACCTTATGGTCCCAATGAAAATTTCATTTGATATGTTTACAACTCTACATACACAAGATTAAAATCCAAAAAGATATTAAAATACATATCAGCACGATTGGGCTTACTTCTGATGAAAATAATGAGCATATCAGTCAATTAAGAGGCTCTATCATGCTAACATATACATTCTATTATAGAACACGAGTCCAGGATAAAGTCGAAGTAGACACAGCCAAGTGAAGCCAACTTCATAAGTGACACGACCATGAAGGCCAAAGACCCCGCCCTTACCGAGAATTCACTGTACTTAACCTTTTTTTTTATAATTTAATTTGTGTAAGTAGATTTGATTTATGTTTATTTACACTGACTCTTACTCATCAAAGTTTTGGACAAATATGCAGGAATAAGGAGATTGTGTTGTGGTACACCATGGGATTTCATCATGTCCCTTGCCAGGAAGATTTCCCGGTAATGCCAACACTAAGCGGGGGATTCCAGATCCGGCTGAAAAATTTCTGAGAGAGAAATCCAGTACTTAACAAGGCCTCCCAAGTGTGTGCACTGGCCTAACTGCACTACTAGACCTCAACCAAATTTCTACAAACAATGTATGTAGAAAAATAAGCACAAATTGCACATTAGCATCAATTTCTTCTTTAATCGGCCTTTTTCAGGCATGCTTATTGTCGATATGCAAAAAGAAAATGGAAACCGATGCTGTTAATTCTTATTATTCTGCAATTTGCTTCAACAGTTTAAAAAACAATCAAAAAAAGAAAAAAGAAAGAAGCCTATCACTTTTCTTTAGAATCGGCATCACAGAATGAAAAAGAATCACAACTCTGTTCAACTGAAATTCTAAACCCAATTGACACTATTTAAATTCATGTCAAGTACTTGATTTATGGCTTATCAAGATCTTCAGCCAAAATACACGTCAATTCTAATAACATTATTGTGAAAAGCTAGTACAAGGTTCAATCATTCACGTCACCGATTTCATCAATGATCGAATAATTGACTCTGGTTAGTAGCTTTCCAATTTCATTGATTTCTTCTTACCCACAATTTCTTTTCCTTTCTTGTTGATAAAATTTTCCTGAACTTTTTTTCTTTTCCTTTTTTTTTTTTGGGGGGGGGGGGGGTGTTAAACCTTGGCATCGCGAGGAGAGTTCTATTAATAATTCAGAACTGAGGGAGTGACATAATGAGCCTTACCTCATGCAATACAAGAAAAATGTAAAATTTTCCTACACTGACTAGTAATTTTCTTGCACTAGGGAAATTTAACCTCTTGAACACTACTACTGTTTGATCAATGGGTTTCTTTCAAAAAAATTTGACGGCCGGAGCTCAAATCCACCAGAAAGTGTTGGCATCACCGGAAAATCTTCTTGGGTCGGAACATGATGGAACCCAACTGTGTACCAAAGGACTATATCCTTGTTCGCAATCGGCCTATTTCTGCACATTTTAAAAAACAAATTCTCATATCAACTTCCGTAACGAAGTTAGAGATCCTAAATTTAGAATCAAAAAACGAATCAAATTGTTCATAAATAAATCAAGTTTTGCTCGTTCAAGGCTTGAGTACCTTGTTAAGTCAACATGGTTTACTCAAAAAATTTAGTCAAGTTCAAGTAAATTCAAACTCAACTTGATTATGCTGAAAAACACAAAATATAATATTTATTTTTAGAAATACATCGAATATATTTCCATCAATTTATTTTACTTCTCTATATTTAGTGTTTATGTAAATTGGAGCTCGACTGGTTTATGTAATCGAATTGAATCAAGTTTGAATTTCTCAATTACTTGATTAAGTCAAGCTCAAACTCAATTGTTTGAGTTCAACTTAAGCTCGGCTGGAGCTAAAAATTCGGTATTCATTAATTTTCACCAATCTGAGCTCAAATACTTCAAAATTACTCGACTAGTTTGCAATTCTAACAGTACTTTTTTTTTGTTTTTGTTTTTGTTTTTGTTTTTGTTTTAGGTACCTTTGGCACCAAACAGCTAGGTCATCGTCGCCATGGCTCCGATCAGCATAAAACCCTCCAGCCCACCTCTCCAACCGGTCATAAGGGGTCACCCACAGTTGATATTTTGTGTAGGCAGCCCGAATTTGGGGATAATCATCGTCAGACAATAGCGAAGTAACCGGTTGTCCAGTGATCAGCCCGTAACCCACCTGATTCCCCAGCTTGGTCATCTTATTCGGATTCACTATTAACAACTCAGCTGGCTCCAAGCCAAGCCGAGTTCTGGCTTTCGCTTCCGACTCGACAGCTTCTCGAACCACGGTCCAGTAACTCTTTCGAGGCGTGCTCGGCTCAATCCCCACCGCTCGAGCGGTCTTTAATTTTGATCTGACAAATGAATTATTTGTACCATCGATGTCGAGGTCGAGGTAGTAAGTGAGGAAGTGATCGTGATGGATTGCAATGGTGTTATCGGCTACAAAGGTACCATATACATCCTCTGTTTTGGGACCATTGTGTGCGTACCAAGTTGCCTCCACCTCTAGCACCCCTGTCAAACTTACCTAGTAATTTACCCCCCAAAACAAAAAATCAAATTATTACCCTCGGATTGTTTTGGCAAAAAAATATTACTTCAGTACAACAAAAAAAAAACAAATTTATTTGAATTAAAGTATCACCAAATTATAGAAAGTCAAGAATATTTTATTGCCAATGTAGGTCTATGAAAAAATTAACTTAGTTTTGGTACATGACTAATCAAAAATAATTTTTTATACGAATATTGTGAAAATAATATTTCATAAGAATAAAATTAAATAGATCTAACATGTCATTTTTTTCCTTGAAATTTTAAATTATGAGTTAGAATTTGTTTATAACTGATTAGACCATCCTTTTAAGTCATTTTGTTAGTTGATCAAATCTAGTAAATAAAAACTTTACATAGCTATTTGACTTTCAAAATAAAAAACAAAAGTGACTTGTATATATTATATAAATGATTTATTAAAATTGTTATTATTAAGGAAAAATTAGTGAAATATCCCTCTCTAATTTTGTATAATAGGAGAGTTTCAAGATGTTTTTTTTTTTAATTACCTAAGGTCCCCCAACATTTTTACAAAGAAATTTCGACTCAGAGAAATTTTGCCTGATTCAGAGAAATTTCACCTGACTCAAAAAAATTTCGGTTCTAACTCTAAGTCGAATTTTCTCTGTAGAAATGTTGAGAGATTTTAACTACTATAAAAATATTATATGTCATTTATCTTATAAAATTTTAATATCATGGACATTAAAAAAATTCCCTATTATTAATTCTAGTAGAATAGTTTGAGATTGTCTCATTATACATTACAAATAAAATAGAGAATTAATAAGTGATTTTATAAAATAGGTATCATTTAATTATATATATTATAAATTGTACGGGGAGCAAATATTCCGGTAAGCCCGTACTCCTTTCTTCCAAGCTCCGTTTCTGTCCGATCACCTGCGAGCACAATAGCGGTGAGCTACCCGGCGGTGTGTGGCCGGAAAACCCCTCCGACGATCAAGTTAGAACACACACAGGGGATAGATAGAGAGAAGGGAGAGTGTTTAGTGTTTAGTGTATGTCTCATCAAATGTTCATCTGTCCGCGTATGGGGGGCGCAGACGTGTTTATATACCTTCTGCGCCCCAAATCTACTCCCAGTGTCCTCTCAACACGTGGCACTACTATCCCATCTGTCAGCATAAACCTTGCTGAGCACCACCTAACCTAACTGCCTGCCCATTCTCCTAGGAGCTCGGCAGCCGGGCAGTACCATCACGGCCATCGTCTGCCATGCTGCGCTTCAAGCCCAAGTACTCCAACAGCTAAGCTCAGATGAGGACCGGACTCGGCGGCATCTCGGCAAAGCCGAGCTCGGGACAACTCACGCTTGTCTGCGGTCGACCTTCCTGCCGAGCAAAAAGGTACCTCGGTCCAACCTTGCCTTTCCTAGCGCTGGACCTTTCACCTGACCGGCTTCGTAACCGCGGATCCTTGCAGCTCGGTCAATCCACGCGCTGCCTTAACCGAGCAGCTTCCTTCAAGGCTGGGCCACACAACTTGGCCCAACACCTGTTCGGCCCAAATCTGTCTGGCACAACTCTGTCCGGCCCAAATCTGTTCGGCACAACTCTGTCCGGCCCAATTCCACGGCCCAATCCAGATCATAAATCTCCCTCTCATAAATAATTATAAATAATCATGTAATATAAAGTTGTCCCTACACAGTTCCATCCCTGCCTATCACCACCACTATCGCCACCACCACCAAAACCTTCACTAATATAATCACTCAGTAATTTTAAGGTGGCAATTAGGGATGTAAAAAAAAAACAACCAAATCAATTAAATTGTATCAAATCAACTATATTTGGTTTGTTTTTTTTAACAAGAATCAGTCTGTGCGGTTTTTAAATTTAATTTTTTTTGGTTTTCAATTTGGTATCAGTTTAAGCACCTTGTGCACCGATTTAAATCAAAACCAACCGCTTCAACATATATTGTATTTATATAATCGCTTCAACATATAGTATTTTTAATATATATATATATATATAATCTATTAATAAGTATAATAAATTATTAATCTTAATTAATTAACCTTATCATCTTTATAACCTAAGTTTGTAAACTCTTATTATATATAATTTTAACTGTAACTCATTATTTTTAAAATCTTAGTATTTTTAAACTTTTTTTTGTTAATTTTGGAATTAAAAAGTATGTATTAAATAGATGGATTGGATATATTTGAAATAATAAACAAATAACTAATATAATGTTTTTATATAGATTAATGCTTATATTTAAAAGTGACTCAAGTTTGAAAAATCCTAAACTGATTAAACCGCACAAAATCGAACTGTTTCAATCGGTTCAGTTCGATGTGGTTCGATGGGAGAAGCGATCTGTATCAATATTCAAAATAATAAAATTGACATTATTAATTCGGTAAATTTTTTTACCTAAATACGAACCGTACCGAACCGATTACATCAAATATAATGTTTTCCATAAAAAAAAATTTGTTTTGCTAAAATAATTGGATTGTATGTTGGTGTTAAATAGTTTTTAGTACTTTGTTTCGATAAAAAAATATTTTTGGCTTTTTCAACATATGATACGGCAAAAAATTAAAAGCTAGTAAAAAATGATTTTTACGATCAACAAAAATAATCTTCACTTTTAAAAAATAAAATAAAATAAAGAAAATAATTTTCAAACCAAATCTCAAAAACGTGACAGCGCTGTACTGACACTATTGCCACCACATCTTTCACCACACTACCGTCAACACCACGTCTACTACCACCATAAGCACCATCACCACCTCACTATCATCACTCAAATATAAAGGACTGCTTTGGAAAGTTGATAAAAAGTTAGTTTTTGACTTTTTATTAAGCTTTTTAGCTTTTTGGAAAATGATTTGGAAAGTTGGTAAAAAGTGAGCTTTTGGCTTTTTAGTTTAATATTTGTTTATAATGTCAAATCAAATTAAAATGACCAAAATACCCTTACCCAACATAAGAAATTTATTTTTTTATTTTTTTGTTATAGGTCCCAATTTGTAATTTTACACTTGTGTTTTTAGAACTTCCCAAACCAATTTTGTTACGTTTTTGGCCACCTGAGTTTTTCGAAAAATAATAAAAAACGTGACTTTTTTTCAAAGTTCCCAAAACGGCACACAATAGGTTTCAAGTCACAACATAGAATAGTAAAACACATTTTTACAAATATATATATATATATATAAAATAATTTTGGCAATATAAATATTGTAATAAATATTTTCCTACTCAAACAACATAATGTAAAAAGTAGTAACAAAGCACTTGTTTGTTCTTACCCCAACTTTAATGGAACCACTTTGCTTGAATTCCCAATCAAGAATATAGTCATAGTTTCCAACAGTAGCCACCATCCTGACCACCAAACTAACCTCTGTCTTTCCACTTTTTAACTGCAAAACCAAACCCAATTCACACCAAATTCACACGACTTTTTCCAACACAAAATCACAAAACATATATGCAAACAAGAAACTAAAATTACCAAACTACGTTACCAATTGTCCGGGAACACCAACTTCAGTATGTCTCCATGCCACATCACCAGAATATCTCTCAAAAATGCAAATTACCCTAGCCACCTGCTGTGCCTGCCCGTCTGCCCCAGCCAAGTACCCATCCATATACGCTGCGTTGCCAGGGCAGTCAATCAGTGGCATGAGGGAGTAAGCCGAATTACCGAGCCCAAATTCACCAGCATCCATAAAGGTCCTAAAGTACCATTCACTAGTTGGATCCATGTACGGTATAAATGTTTCTGAAACGTGTCCTCTGTAAAGCACACGCCGCCACTTTTTATTTCCAGCATCGAATATAGAAGCTGTTGATATGATTAGCCCCGCCCGGGCATTGAAAGCGACATGGAAAGCCCAATTAGCCCATCTGACCTCGTGGCCTTTGATGGTGAACCCGGTTTTCGTTCCATTGGAAGGGCCCAAATTAGGTTCCTGCCCTGATGACCGAAAATCAGTACCATCGGCTCTAGGCAAAGGGGCTTTAAATCTATCTGTATATTTGATAACTTGATTTGACTCGACATCAACTAGTATACTTATCCCTTCAATAGGCCTTGCAAAAATGTTAGTCGTTCCTCCACGATAGAAGCAGAAAACTCTAAGAACTCGTTTGGTAACCAATTCTCCGAACCAACCAATTGTCAACGGTAGGCACGTGATTTCAGACAAATTTAGCTGCCTTCTCAAAATTGATTCTTTAAACTCAGGGTGCATTTGAGATATTATGCTGGCTTGGACGAACTCTTTGGAAGTGAATGGGGGAAAACCATGACCATTGTAAACATGGTCTGATATGATTGAACCGGTGGCTAAGTCTACAATGAGCTCATGGGTCTCACCCCTGGCTCGAACCACCACCTTGGCTCGACGATGAGGGAAAGACCCATTGTGTTCATTGGAAGATAGCCATTTGAGAACATCTACTTTCTCTGGTTCTTCTAGATCAACAAAGTGAAAAGTCAAGCTAGAAATAGCAGAACCAAGGTGAGAGTTTTGGATTATGAGGTTAACTTGGTTGATTTCACTAGGTGTAAGAGGGTCTAGTGGGTGTTGAAAAGTGGGTATGAAGCAACATTGTAGCAGAATAGCCACAACTAAAAGTTGCATAGTACTCATGGACACTCCATTCATCAACTCCACATAACATAGAAATTTTAGATTTTGTTGTGGTGTTTCAAAGTACAATTTGGCAATATATATTGGAATGATAAAAACACCAATTGCTATTTTATTATGTCACAATTCTCACATCAAATAGGTGTATTAGAAAATTCATAGTTTCATGGTATGCACAGCCCATCACAATCAGAATTCAGAGAGAGAATAATAATAATAGTAATAATAATAATAATAATAATGTACCATTTGGATTGAACACTTGTGTGGTGAGATTATACTTTAAGGCCATGTTTGTTTGGCGGGGTGAGAGGCCGGACTGGATTAAGATAGCTGTGGGTCTCACCCACAGTTTGGTATTGATTTGGGAGGGGGGATTGCTAGTGTGGAGGGCTTAGTAATCCCCCTCCCTAAGGGGATTAGCTTGGGTAAATTTTAGGTGGGATCAAGAAAATAGTGAGTGGATTAAGTCTATTTTATATTAAAAAAATTAATTTTTTTTTACCGAGTGCACCTATTTGTTTTAATGTTTATTTTAATTTTTTTAATATAGAAATAATTTATTTATTTATTTTATATAAAAATAATTTAACAATCCCATCACTAATCATCTCTCACACTAGCATCAAAACAAACACACTTTTACTAATTCTTTCACTAACAATTATCACATTAACAATCTCTTCACTAATAATCCTTTCACTAATAATCTCATCCAACCTAATTCGCCAAACAAATGTGACCTAAATGAATCTGAATCACACTGTCTCTTTTTTTTTTGTTTTTTGTTTGTGGGTCTGAATTCTTGGTTCCTAAGATTACTTACCGACATTGGGCAGGAATCCTATGGCCACATCTCTCATATCTCAATGTTATCACACAATCAAATCAAAAAGATGTTAGGTGCAACAATAACCATACCACACACGTTAATGAATAATTCACGCTCGATGTTGATTGTTCTGCAAATCAAGTAGTATTGAAATGGAGGTTAATATCTACGTTCCATTCTACAAAGAAAAGTACTATTGACGTGGCATGTTAGAAAATTCAGCATTTCTACAAAGAAATGTACTATTGACCTAAGGTGTTAGGAAATTCAGCATTTCTAGACTGAAATTTGTAATTTTAATTCCATTTCCTCTAACATGGTTCAATATGCAACAAAAAATGATGTAACAGTATTACTTTCGTAAATATAAATCATTTTTGTCAATATTTTGTTTTGAAATGAAATGTTCACATTAAACTACATGATTTTGTATACAAAAATTTGTATGAATTTTCCGATTATTTTTTTGTGGATAAGAATCTAGATAGGGAAAGGTAGTTGAACTAGTCACAGTTAGAACACCTGTTTGGGTGAAAGCGAAGACTGGTTATGTTTTGGCAACTGTGGATGACTTCTCATGCAATATAGAAATTAAATTAGGAATGAGGGAGTAGGGGCCAATTGCCACTATTATTATTATTATTATTTTTGGTACTGTATTTTGATTTGTATTCTAGCTTGTTTCAGTTGGCTCTTTTGCCAAGTTATGCTCTGTTTTTTTCCCTGTTGTCTTGCTGCTGTTTCCCTTGGGTTGGTTTATAAAAAAAACAAATAAAAACAAACGTATAGGCTCTCCGAATTTTTTTTTAATATAGCCTAATACTAATAATATGAATTGTTTATTATTTTTTTCGTATATATATATGACAAGGTGGTTACATCCTATAAGTGCAATTTATTCTTCCCATATAAGTTTATTATTGATTAGTAATAATTTGTATCGCTGGTGACGTGATATCATCGTCATATTAAATTTTTACTCAAAGTAATTCAAGTTTCGCAGGGATAAGAGGGGTATTTCGTGACCATCAGACCAAATTTTTGGAAACTTTTGCTTGCCCTATTGGTTGTACTTCTAATAATATGACTGAATTATAGGCTCTTCGCATTGGACTAAAAAAGGCACAAATGGTAAATTACAAAAAATCTAATTGTTGAATATGATTTTATTCAAACCCTACATGCTTTACATAGGCAACAAACAAGGATCCGCGAACATCAATTACTTCTGCCACATTGCTTATAGCTTCTAGATGAATTCAACAGCATTCGGTTGTGTTTTACCTATCGAGAGGGCAATCAAGTAGATGATACTCTTGCTTCTTTTGCAGCAACTCTTTTGCAAGATGAACTACTCTTACACCATTCCTTTTTATTTTTGTACTCTTTTTCAAAGAGGGATTGGTGTGATCCTCCTAATGTTGGTTTTGTTTTTAATATATTGAACTTTATCTTTTTAATTTAATGCAATCGTTTTATGGTTTAAAAAAAAAAATTGCACTACCACAAAACAAGTGTATTAAATTAAAAAGATAAGTTCACAGTTTTAACAATAAATTTTACAATGTTGACATAATTATATTGACATTCCTTTTAATAATATCAAAAGAATTTAAATTAATGCATATAATAAGAAAACATGAAGATAAATAATGTAAAATATATATTTTAATATAAAAGAGGAGCCAAGTATTATATAAATTTAAATCTTAAAGAAATTTAATATAATTAAGTTAAACTTATAAAACTTACTATAATTTTTTCAAAGCTTAAGAAAGAATAATGTATTTTAACTTGTATATAAATAAGTATCCTATGTAAGACCATCTCCAACGGTGAACCAAACCTGGCATCAAATTTAAAATTTGGTAAAAAAGTCACTTTTTTAAGCTCCAATGGTTTCACCAAATCGATATCAAATCCAGAATTCAGCAAAAATGGTACCAAACTGAGTGCAGGCGAAGCATTTCACCAAAGCACTGTTTCACCTTGGTCCGTCTCACTAGCCCTCTCCCATGCTCGGCTTCCAGAGAGCTTCCTTGATCTCCTTGAGGAAGATTCATGCCCTACAATGCTTCCATCTTGGCTACTAGAACCATCCATAAAATCCTCCTCGGAAAAGCTGAGGCTGGTTGGTTTTGGAACTTCAAACCCATCATTCCTCACGACAGACAAGACCGTGGGAAGTTCTTCCCAATCCCCAGCAAAGAAATGTACTGCCGGAGCCAGAGTTTGCCTCGACGGAGTTAGGGGACTCTCCAGCTGTCGGCTTTGCCTGTCCCGAGCCTGCTCAAGGTTGGCCAGGACATTAGGGATAGTTGTGCATCTTATAGTTTCGGCATTCAGGTCTTGAAAGTGCACTGTAGCAGCTCCCTGTAATGGGTTTAACAGATTAATTAGAACAAATCAAAGTTCATTTCATCTTAATTAAATTTCATTGAATTTGTCTTTCGTTTATGGTTTTCTTGTCTGTATCTATGCAATCCTCTTGCCCGGTATTTTTAGTGTTTGCACTTCAAATGAACTGTTCAACCATGCATACTCTTTGAAATTATGTAATCTCAGTAACTGACATCACTTCTGTTTTCTTCAAAAAAGTTACTGTCCAAGAATCAATTATATAACATTGTTTCTCATAAAAAAGTTATTATCTATGTCTATCTTTCCTAAACAAACATTAAGAGCATATACATTCTAATGTATTATCAATTCAATGTACTCAATACAAGTGCTCCAAGCCTGTAATAAGCACCCAAAATATTGTATAGTGGCTTTTGTACAAAAGTTGGCACGCAACAACAGCAGAGGTCACCTTAAATGGTAAAGATGAAGTACAAAGTATCTAAACCTTAAATAAGGCTTTAAGAAAACTGTTCTCTTGAAATCACATCCCCCCCCCCCTCATTCTTTGATGAAATACCACTAACCTCCCTTGTCAGTTAACATCGTTAAATGAAACAGTAAATTTACAAAATACCCGTATTTGACACTCCTCTCTGCAACCTTCCCCATAGCCTCCTCTCTCTCTCTCTCTCCAACCACTGAAATCACCTCCTCTGCCACCCCACCCTTCACTTCATACTCCAGCTCATCCTCCCTGAACAACCCCTTTTAATTAAGGCTTCAATTAATGGGATTTAGTGGTGGTTGGTTCATGAATAGATGAAAATTACAAAGGTGGTGATGGGTAAGCAGTGGATGGTGATGTCGTGTGATGGAGGTACTATGGGTTACGGTGGTTGTGTGGGGTGGTGCTGGTTGTAAGTTACAGGGTGGAGAAGAGTTGCAGTAGACGCGGTGGGTGCTCCACAGTGGTGGTTGTGATATGGTGGCTATGGGTATGGCAATGGTGGTGTGTCCTCACTCTCCATGTTGTGGTGGCTATGGATTTTGTCTCTGGTTATGAGGGGAGAGGAAGAGGCAAAACTGCCTGGGAAGGAAGCAGGAAGGCAAAGGAGGAGGGAGAGGCAGCGCTGCCTAGAAAGGGATGGGGAAGCGGAAGGGAAAGGGGAGGGTAATTTTGGCATTTCAAGCCTTATTATGTTGATCTCATCATTTTCCGTTTGGTCAACTGGCGGTCCACTAATGGATGAAAAAGAACAACCCGAATGACTCACTCATACTTCGAAATCAAATCAATTAGATTCAAAACAAAACAAGAATAGAACACAGCAGAAGCCAAGACATGATTAATATACCTTCAGACAAGCGAAGATTCCTGGAAGTCCGCAGCTGCAACTTAGCTGAAAGAATCACAAAAACAAGAAAATCAATTCTGAACTGCAAATGTGGTATAATATAATCAAACACAATAAATTTTCAACACCCACAGCAGTAGAAATTTAGAAAAGGAGAGGGCCTACATGAGGAAGGTAACTTCAAACAACCAAAAAAAATTATGGTTAAGGCTAGGGAAAGTGGTTTAGAAACCTATTTACACAATTTGAATTAATTCAAATTGTGTAAATAGGTTTCTAAACCACTTTCCCTAGCCTTAACCATAATTTTTTTTGGTTGTTTGAAGTTACCTTCCTCATGTAGGCCCTCTCCTTTTCTAAATTTCTACTGCTGTGGGAGTTGAAAATTTATTGTGTTTGATTATATTATACCACATTTGCAGTTCAGAATTGATTTTCTTGTTTTTGTGATTCTTTCAGCTAAGTTGCAGCTGCGGACTTCCAGGAATCTTCGCTTGTCTGAAGGTATATTAATCATGTCTTGGCTTCTGCTGTGTTCTATTCTTGTTTTGTTTTGAATCTAATTGATTTGATTTCGAAGTATGAGTGAGTCATTCGGGTTGTTCTTTTTCATCCATTAGTGGACCGCCAGTTGACCAAACGGAAAATGATGAGATCAACATAATAAGGCTTGAAATGCCAAAATTACCCTCCCCTTTCCCTTCCGCTTCCCCATCCCTTTCTAGGCAGCGCTGCCTCTCCCTCCTCCTTTGCCTTCCTGCTTCCTTCCCAGGCAGTTTTGCCTCTTCCTCTCCCCTCATAACCAGAGACAAAATCCATAGCCACCACAACATGGAGAGTGAGGACACACCACCATTGCCATACCCATAGCCACCATATCACAACCACCACTGTGGAGCACCCACCGCGTCTACTGCAACTCTTCTCCACCCTGTAACTTACAACCAGCACCACCCCACACAACCACCGTAACCCATAGTACCTCCATCACACGACATCACCATCCACTGCTTACCCATCACCACCTTTGTAATTTTCATCTATTCATGAACCAACCACCACTAAATCCCATTAATTGAAGCCTTA